AGGACCCTAATTGTGTACTTCTACTTATATTATCTTGACTGGCCTTGTGGCTCTTGTTCTAGTGGCTGGACTAATAGTGCCACCCCGGGTTACTCTTGTTAAGTTTGTACTCTTGCTGACTAGTTTTCGGACCCTTGCCTCAGAGGTTGGACTAGTAGTGCCACCCTGAGCTGCGTGTCTCTTGCCCGACACTACCCCTCATCTAGCCTAGGGGGTGTGTCAAGCATATATATATATATATATATATATATACATGTGTTATTACAGTGACGGAAACAATTGTCCGGATGTTTTGGATTAATTAGGGCTTTTTAGCCTTCCGACCAGCGTACATAAAGTCCTAGTATTTAATGGTGGTACGCTTTGAGAGGGGCATATAGTGGATGTGTTCTCAGCGCTAAATTCTATAATAGTATACTGGATCTAACTTAGTGCCAAAAGATATACAAAGAGTACATCCGGACAATTGTTTCCCGGGACAAAGAGCAAACTTCCGAGCAGCGTTTCTAGTACCTGGTCCACCAACACTTGGCCTTGATAACCACCTGCACCCTCCTAGGCATGTTATCTATGACGTTAGTGCAAACCTTTACATGGATCTTCTCGCACTCTTCCTGGACCCACCCCTTTGCATAAGGGGGTGAGCACTAGGAAAATTGCGAAGTATTTGAACGTATGCAAGAGTATTGTGCATGATTTCATATTGAATGTTATCTCTGAGACTAGCCATACTTAGGTGTGGCCAAAGATGCCATAAGTTGATTAGTCCCATCTTAACATGAATCGTCTTCGTCGTACCATTGTAGGGTAAAATTGCGAGCAGAGTGGCGAAAACTAGCGTGTCCGCCGCGAAACTTAGGGTAACATAGCACGGTGCACCCATTCACTAATAGAATCAGGTTAAAATCTACGGGTCTCGTCACGGTGCAGCAGTCAAAGAAGCCCCTACTAGTGGGGAAGAATATCCGGGTTTAGGTCTGGTGAGAAAGAGGGTCACTCCAGTGCTGCAAACTCATGCTCTCCAAGTCATTTCAAGCCTAGGCGGGACACATGGCTTAGAATGGCTTGGAGAGCATGAGTATGTTACACGGGAGTGACCCTTTTCCTCACCAGATCTCAACCTGGATATTCTTTCTGAACAGTCGCGACTTTTTCGACTGCTGCACCGTGACGAGACCTACGGATCCTAGCGCGATTCTAATAGTGCAAGGATGTACAGTGGTCTGTGCTATGTTACCCTAAGTTTCGCGGCAGATACGCTAGTTTTCACCACTCTGCTTGTAATTTTACCCTACAAAGGTACGACGAAGACGATCCATGATAAGACGGGACCAATCGACTTATGGCATATTTGGCCACACCTCAGCGTGGCTAGTCTTAGAGATAACATTCAATCTGAAATCGTGCACAATACTCTTGCATACGCTAAAATCCTTCACAATTTTCCTAGTGCTCACCCCCTTGTGCAAAAGCGTGGGTCCAGGGAGAGTGCGAGAAGATCGTTGTAAAGGTTTGCACTAACCTCGTAGACAACATGCCTAGGAGGGTGCGGGTGGTGATCAAGGCCAAGTGTCGGCTGACTAGGTACTAGAAATGTTGCTCGGAAGTTTGCTATTTGTCATGGGAAACAATTGTCCGGATGTACTCTTTGCATATCTTTTGGCCCTAAGTTAGATCCAGTGTACTATCATGGGTTTTAGTGCTGTGAACACATCCACTATGTGCCCCTCCCAAAGCATACCACCATTATACATTAAGACTTTATGTATAGTGGTCGGAAAGCCACAAAACCCTAGATAATGCAAAACATCCTGACAATTGTTTCCGTCACTGTATACGCTAGATAGGTGCGTACTGTAAGGAAATTCCTTTTCCTTACTGGGCTCGACTACAGCGCGTATGTCCTCGACTCTTGGAATTCCAGGCTCAGCCAACTTCTTCGGTCCCAAACCACTTCGCGAACTCAAACCTAGACGCGCGGCGCTTTCGTAGCTTTCGCCAACCATACCGCCCCAACCTGCTCGCGTGGTTCTCGGCTGTCTCTGTTCGTGCCTTTAAATGCTGCGGCCCTCATTTGTATCGACACACTTGAATCACGACTCCTTTATTACACTACCTCTTATTACTCTGATTTATTCATAAGAGTTGGTATCAGAGCTCCGTTCCTGCCCGCTTAGTCTTGCGTAGAGTAGTCCGTATATATCGGGAGAGGACCCGACAAAATAGAGGGTTGGCCTGCGGTTGGTAAGTGAGTACGTTAAATCTCCTCCAACTAGAAGCGTGTGCACCCTCAGATCTGTCAGGTAAAATTTCCAGCATGTCTATCACGCCGGAAACCTCTGCCCGTCTTAGTATTAGGAACGTGACTCAGGAGGAGTTTGACGAGTTGTAAGACAGGGCGACAACAGTGACGACACTGCAAGCCCAGCTTCAACAACTTGCCGATAATTCCGAGTCGCTGGGAAGCAAAGTGAAGACGCTGCACTACGAAAACTCGTCGCTTCGCCAGATGCTGGGTGAAACGCATCAGGGGTGGCCTATTACCCGAGACGAAGGTCCTGCGAGCGAAGCGAGGGCGTCGGCGACATCTGAAGCACTTGAAGAAGTCCATAGCGAGCCGCGGGCGGCCATTAAAATCAAACCTCCAATGCCACCGCCGTTCAACCCGACCGAAAGAACGACGACTGTAAGCGGTTGGCTGTTCGCCATGGAAATCTTCTGCATAGCAGCAAGTATTAATGACAACGCATCACGTGTCAACTTGGCTGTGTCGCTGCTGAGGGGACCGACACTCGACTGGTGGCACATGCATCTAGACGAGGGAGGAGCCCCGACAGGGAATCAACGGGTGGTAGATGAGGAGCACAGTTCATCAACGGCTCAAACGGAACAGATCTTTGGGTCGGCCATGATCCGCATGTGGAAAGCGTGGGGAGAAGCATTGAAGAGCCGATTCGAGCACATATCCATGCGCAAAAATGCTCGCACAAGACAGTTGGATTCTGTCCAAGAATACACGGCTTCGTTCTTGGCGCTATGCGATCGAATTGGAGGGCTTAGCAAAGATGAGAGAATCGATCGCTACGTTGGTGGTCTCAAGCCAGAGATTCGGCAAGAGATCCTCCTGCGAGCCCCGGCAACATTCAACAAAATTGTCCGAATCGCGGATGCGCTAGACGCAAGGCGTGGACTCGCGAGGGCGGATTTCCGGTAGGGAAATCGCTTTCGAGGCCAGCCCCAACACACATCAATCAACGGCGTGGACGTGTTTGCAGCCCGGGTGTTTTCCGGATGATGTTTCCACTGCAACCAGCCGGGCCACATGGTGAGGGACGGCCCGCAGCTAAAGAAGAACTTAGCTAACGACGGGAAGCAGTCGGGAAATGGAGATCGTCAGTAGCAGATGGGCCACCTACTGACTTGACTGCGTCGCCCAAACGCCAACACCCCCACCAGGTTATAGTGCCGATTCGGGCTATCGACCATTCCTGGCTGAATAATGGGGGTGAACCGGTTGATCGCCCTGTGCTGGTTGAAGGAAGAGTTGGCGACACCCGCATCAAAATATTTGTTGATCGTGGGGCAAGCCACAGTTTGATGGATGTGATAAGAGCGAAGAAACTCCGATTGCAGCCGGAACGCCGCATGCCCAAAATCGACGCGGGGTTGGTTGACAGCACCCCACTGGCGATTTGGGAGCGCGTGCCTCACGTGCGAGTCACCTGTGACGAAAACTTCAGTTTCACGATGAAGATGCTGGCGACAACTTTGGACGGGTGCGACATGCTGCTGGGACGCGATTGGCTACGGGAATACAACTCGAGCATCGACTAACGGACGGGTGATTATCGCGTAAAGTGGAGTGGCGAGTGGCGACGGCTACCCAAGTGGAGCAGTCAAGACTCGACAACATCGACGGTCAGCACAGTGACTATAAAGCGCGCGATGATTCGGGGAGCGCAACTGTATGCCGTCCGATGGATCGCATCAACGGCTATCGACACGCCGACCAACATCGACAAACTCTGCGCAGCTGTCCCGAATGACTTGACAACCGTGATTCGGAAGCACGCTGACATTTTTCCTGACGACCTACCGGCAAGCTTGCCACCTCAGCGGCCGCATGACCACACAATCGAGCTCGAACCCGGCGCGCAGCCTACTGTTCGGACCTAATGGCGGCTGACTCAGCCTGAGTTAGAGCAACTTTGACACCAACTGGACTACCAGCTACATAAAGGTTTCGTCCGCCCCGACACATCACCATTTGCAGCTCCGATCCCGTTCACCCCGAAGAAAGATGGCGGTCTGCGTATGTGTATCGACTACCGCGCCTTGAATCGGGTTACAATCAAGTCTCGCTATCCAATACCACGTCCGCCTCGCGGGGCCAGATTTTTCTCAAATATTGACCTGCGAGGCGGTTACCACCAACATCGCATGCACGGACCTGACTGCTACAAGACAACGTTTCGGACCCGGTACGGGAGTTACGAGTACACGGTCATGCCATTCGGCTTAACAAACTCGCCTTCGACATTCCAGTTGACAATGCACGTTATTTTTCTGCCGCTACTGGATAAGTGCGTCATCATATACCTCGACGACATCCTTATCTATAGCACAACACGGGAGCAGCATTTAAAGGATTTGGAAGCAGTTTTCTCTCTCCTGCAGCAGAACCGACTCATCACCAAGGGCCTCAAGTGCGAGTTTTTTAAACATGAACTGGAGTTCTTGGGTCACGTGATTTCCATCGACGGTGTTAAAATCGACCCCAAGAAAATCGCGACAATCCAAGACTGGAAGCCGCCAGCTAATCTCCGCAAACTTCAAAGTTTCATGGGGTTTGTTAATTGCATCCGCCGTTTCATTTCAAACATGGCGGGGGTAACTTCCCCTCTCATGGATCTCTTGAAGAAGGGCACATTTTTTTAGTGGGGGGGATAGCAGCAGGATGCGTTCGACAAGCTCAAACTTTTCCTGACTACACCGCCGGTTCTTCGGATGGCAGATCCTCACCATCCATTTGAGCTCATCACTGACGCTAGCGATCTGGCCGTTGGCGCAGTCCTCTTACAAGACTTTGGCGAAGGCCTACAACCGATCGCCTACGAGTCACGAAAGCTGAACACGGCCGAACGAAATTATCCTGACCACGACAAGGAGTTACTCGCCATCGTTCACGTTTTCAAAGTCGGGTGCTGCTACCTGACGAGTGCTGCCGTAACAGTCCGAACAGACCACAAGTCACTACAGATCATCCGCCCCCAACCGACACTGAATCCCCGACAGATTCGCTAGCTCGACTACCTCGAGTCCAATTTCCACTACAGAGTCACCTACAAACAAGGGGTCAGCAACGTCGCCGACGCACTGACCCACCCCTTGGTCCACACCGCCGAAGTCCTAATTACCCAAGCTAATCCGCTGCTAACTGGCCTATTCACCCACAGATACAATATGGACCCATTCTTCACCACTAACAGTCATCCCCAACAGACGGTCAAGCAAGGGGCCTATTATCTAAAATCCGATTCCAATTGGATTTGGGTTCCCGCCTACTGCACCCTACGGGAATTACTGATCCAGGAGGCACATGACTCGAATTTCTCGGGTCACTACGGCATCGACAAAACTGCAAAATTACTAAGCCGTAACTATTACTAGCCCGACCTACCGACGGACGTGCAGCAGTACGTCACCTCCTGTGCCACGTATCAACGCATGAAGTCTACTCGACTTCGACCCGCTGGATTGCTGCAGCCGCTCGAGCCACCCAGCCGACCCTGGCAACAAGTGATGATGGACTTCGTCACTGGCCTACCAACTGGTTCAAGCGGTAACGACGCGATCCTAATCGTCGTTGACCGGTTGACCAAAATGGCACATTTCGCCGCCTGCAAGACGACAATTACTGCCGAGCAGACAGCAAAATTGTTCCTCACGAACATCGTGCAGCTACACGGCATCCCATCGGCAATCATCAGCAATCGCGACGCACGGCTCAAGTCCAACTTCTGGACAAAAACCTGGCAGCAGTACAGCACACGTCTGCATCTGTCTACGGCGTACCACCCGCAATCGGGCGGTCAGACTAACCGCACCAACCAGAAAATGGAGCAGCTGATTTGCACGACATGCACAGACCCGGCCCAATGGGAAGATGCCCTTCTTGTTGATCGAGTTTGCGTACAACAATGCCCCATCGGCCAGGACTACTCAGTCCCCGTTCTTCCTTAAATATGGGATAGATCCGACAACCCCTCTATCACCACCGATAGAAAATCCAGCACCAAGGTCTCAGCATTTCGTCGAAAATCTCTGACAGTCTCAGCAAAAAGCCGCCGATGCCATCCTAAAAGCCAACCACAGGGCTAAGCAGCAAGCTGACCAATGACGCCGAGAATTAGCACTTGTACCTGGGCAATTGGTCCTGCTCGACACCAGGAATTTGGGAATCCCCCTCCCCAATAAATCACGACCAAGATTTTGCAGGCCCTTCCACATCATCCGCATGGTGACACCGGTCACCGCCCAGCTGCAACTGCCGATTGACTGGCGAATTCATGATTCGTGCCACGTCAGTCTCCTGCGACCGTTCGTCCCGAGTGCGACCAATCTCGACCGTCAACACATTAATTCTACGATCAACCCAGTACCCGAGCCAACGATCGAGCCGTCTAAGATTCTCGCTCATCGCGTACAGGGATATTGAGATATAGCAGCCGTCAATTTCCTTGTACGATGGGTCGATCGCACAAGTGACGACGACCTCTGGGTTCCCGCAGCCACGCTCGGTGACAACAGAGTTGTCCGGGACTATTTACACCAACAACGTGTCCCAGATGTGGGTAGTCTCATCCCGGAAGGGGGGGTGGTGTAAGGAAATTCCTTTTCCTTACTCGGCTCGACTACAGCGTGTACGCCCTCGACTCTCGGAAGTCCAGGCTCGGTCAACTTCTCGGTCCCAAACCACTTCGCGAACCCAAACCTAGACGCGCGGTGCTTCCGTAGGTTTCGCCAACCGGACCGCCCCAACCTCTTCGTGTGGTTCTCGGCCAGCTCTGTTCGTGCCTATAAATGCCTAGACCCTCATTTGTATCGACACTCTTGAATCACGACTCCTTTATTACACTAGTTGTTATTACTCTGATTGATTCATAACACGTACTCTTAGAGAGTACAACCCCTTAGCACAAAACCACCCTGTATCTCTCTTTCTAGCCAGGCCTTATTTTATCAGAGTAAATCACTCTGCTTCTCTGAAAATTAGAGTCATTTTTGAAAACCACTCTGATGGTCCTGGGTAAAATTTTGAAAGTATATGTTTTCTCTGATTTATCAGCGTTGGTCAATGTACCACCCTGAGGGATTTTCAATAGGGGGTATACTCCCTTATTTTTTCCTGTACTCCCTGTATTCGGTGAAGTCCTCCGGCTGCCAGTCACACCCCTCCCATACCCCACGCAACCTTGATGATTTTGGTGAAGTCCTCGGCAATAAGTCACACCCCCCTAATACCCCCCCGAACCTGGAATTTTTTTGTCACGTCTTCTGCAACCAGTCACAACCCTCATAATCCCCCCAACCCAGGCATATTCTTTCTCTCCCACACCCAACCCAACTTAACCCAGCTATGATCAGTGCTGTTTGACTGGCCCTTTCCGTTAGTCACGCTAGTTTTCATGCATGTAACTTGGCGCTGTGCTGATTTGTAAACACCTTATCTGTCGCCACACAGCGAAGGTGATTGGTACAGCACATGCGCCAGCCAATCACTGGCGTGTTAATGTATTTCTGCAAACTTTGCTCCCACACGAATCCCAGCGACATCAGCCAATTTGACAGCTCAGCCAGGTTTGGCCGTTTTCTGTTTCTGTTTCCGTACTTCGGAGCAAAGCAGAGCCTGCAATGATTTCTTTGGGAGAACCCGACTCGACGGATCCCATACCAAAAAATTGCCAGCGAACCCCGACACTTTGCGCACCTCGCCACGGGAATAATGGGATTGTAAGTGTCTTGGAATGTTACCGCTTTGGCATACGCGGATTGCGACGGGGGGCTGAATTTGTACTTTTCAAAATACCCGGGTGATGAATTTGTACTTTCTGAATTTGTTGTTTCCGAAATACCCGGCGGACGAAATATGGCATCCTGTCATGGCTGGCAAGTTCCACTGTTGCCGCTGTCTTCTCTGGGAACAATGCGGGCCATATTCTAGAAACGGGGGTGCGATTGCCCGTGCTAGAAACAGAAGTGATGCGGGAAGCTTTTGTGAGTGAACCGAGACGTGACTGACTCGAGCAACAAGGGTATAGGGTAGTCTGGTTCAGGCCTCTCGATATCCTAGGGGTCACCCTGCAGTTTCCGAGATTGCCCCGGATCCAACTCGTCCACGCTGAATAGCCCTAAAAAGTTTGACTGTTTTTGCAGTTAAGAGTTTCGTCAAGCTCGGAAAAGCCACTCCTGACAATGACAGGGGGAGATTTTTTTACTAGGGGCGCGAACGTTTACGATTACATTTTACTGGGCGGGTCTATCCCGTACTCGGAAATTGGCAGTGGGATAATTATGGCTTTCCTGTCCATGGACGGGTATCGATATTCCGAATGCGTCAAAAGCAGGGCGAGGTTAAAATTTCACCCTGTTTTCCTTGACAAAGCAGTATAATTACCTTGACTTCCAGAGGTCCGGTCTGGTTACCTAATTGGAATTTTTCAGTCTACAGCGGGTGACCATTGTTGTTTCGTTTGTGCTCCTCGGGCAATAGTGTGAGGCCTCATAACGTCCTGTCTGCACGTTTGGGGGTCTCAGTATCAGCTGTGGTAACTATAGGAGATCAGTGGGCCCCTATGGGTTGGACCGTTGCCCAAAGATAAGCGTTGATTCTGGCTAATTCGTTACTCTGAGACTAGGATCCTCGACGAGCTCGACTAATTGAGTTTCTGGTACAGCGGGTATGCCATTAGGTCCACGACATTTTACTCCATGTAATACTCCAAGGTCCGAAATTCGATAAGATCGGACACGATGTACTCCGTCTGTACGGTATACATCTACTGCTGACTTCGCTAAAAAGGCGCAATAAAACATTGTGACCATTCACGACAGTCACATAATGCCACCGACCATCGAGTCGCGCCACCCGAATTGGGTGCGATCCCAGCATGCGATTGTCGCCAACCAACCCGCGAGTGCGAGCTCGGAAACTTCTCGTGAACTGTGCTTGGAATTGCCCGGCCAATACGCGCTTGCCAGGGCGATCAGACGTAATCACGACGGACCAAAAAAGTGACAGCCAGCTGATACCACCGTCCGCCTGGCAATTTTGTATGCGCGCTGACCTGGGCATGAATCCGTACCCCTTTTTCATCCATTCTGTCTTATTCTTTTGGTCCTATTCTAATCCTCGTGTCAAGAACATTCGGGGCGTTTTCCATATTTTATAACCAATGACATAAATATTCAGGCTTTCCGCTTGACACGAACAGGTCCGTCCCGAATACGAAAACAGGATCCACGGTCCCTCAATCACCATTAACCAATGCACATTTCCAAAATGTTTTTCTTCAATGGTTTTTTTCACCGTCGTGAAAGTGTGTGATTGGTTAACGAAACCGCTCAGGCAAGTCGTCATAATTTCGTTACGTTAAGCCCTTTTTGTGAGACCACGAAAAGGGTTTTTCAAATTATATGATTTGCGCGTTTAGAGCATGCGCTGCTTGCGGAAGGTCGAGAACGTGGTGTTACTTCTATTTTCCGCGGTAATTCTGACCAGACGACAAATGTGCTAAACGTTTTTTAAGAAGCCACATGAGCCCTCACATGACACGCGGCGAAATCGCTGGTAACCTGCCCAAGGGTCAATACGCCAAGGCACCCATCGTGAACATAACGAGTAAAACGGCCTACGCCACCCCACCTAAAACTGTACGTGCTACTCGATAATCCATTTTGCCCGTAGTGAACCGCTCTTATTCGTCCTAGTCCATATTTGCGAGTCGCGGATTTGGAGCATAGAGCATACCCCCTGTATCGTGGAAGGATCGGACACCCTTGGAAAACAATTGGGTGCCCTTGGGACGGATCGACAATCACCCGATTTTTCGAGTCTACCGGTACCTCCAGTCACGCAATGCGCGCGACGTCGGGGGTCTTAGCTAAGTCCATACCTTGGAGAGAGATGGGGGGGGGGGGGGGGGGGGTGTGTGTAAATAAATGGCATTTCCTTATCCGGGGTTTTACTTACGGGTAGTAAGGCGTACACTGCTATATCCAGTTCTGCCACTAAATTCAAATCGTGACACCCAAATGTGGTCTCCTGACCAGGGCTCAAATTAGCCGGGTAAAATGCCCTGATTGCCCTGATTTTTCAGGGCATTTTTTCATTTGGTCTTAAAAATCAGACTTACGAAATTTATTACCCTGATCCAAAAAGTGTTACGAAAATATTACCCTGCCGGAACTAGGGTTGCGGGGCCCCGAACCCTGACCCTTCAGGGCGTCCTGAAAACTACCCTGGTATCGAAACTCCGAGATTCCGACTAAGTCCTTGGCGGCCAGAAACATTTCCCCCAAAACACCCTGCAACCAAAAATTTCGACGAAGTCCCTGGCAGCCAGAGTCATTCCTCCCACCCCACGCACCATGCAAGCCAGCAATTTCGGCTGAGTCGTAGCCAGAGTCATAGCTCCCTCACCCCCTCGCAACCCAGAAATGGCTAAGTCCCCTACAAGAGACATGCCTCCCAACCACACCCCCGCTACTTTTTTTTTTTCGCTAAGTCCTCCACACCACAGCAAGACACGTCACGTCGTATACGCCCTTCTGACACCCAACCAATCACGAGCAGATGGTTTTTTTCCCGCCCCTCTGCCGCCCATGTAAATCTGATTCCCCTCTCGCGCCCCAGAATCGTTTTCCGTCCCATCCCATCCCCCAATCTCCCCCAGCACGCGCAAATCCGCTACACCCTTCTTTCCACACCTCAGTGCAGCCCACTTCATTCATGTAAAATGTTCCTTAAATGACCAAGGCTAGAAAGGGTGCAAAGAGTTCTACACTTGAAGCAAAGACTTCGAATTTTTTTACCCTGCCAAATCAGACTTAGAATTTTTTTAGCTCTGACCGTCAGGGCATTTTTTTTTTCCTACTCTGATCTCAAAGAGTGGCCTAAAACCAATTTTGGGCCCTGCTCCTGACGAGCCGACCGGACGCATTTTGCCTGCCTTGTTGTTCTATGCCTAAATTTGGGTGCTTCGCGCCAATTTATAAACCACACGTCTCAATTCTGCAGAGCCTCGACCGTGTGCTCTAGGCCTAGCTATATCCAGGCTCCATGTTGCTTTGATGTTGCCTCGTTGTATTGTTTCCTCGCTACACGATTATTCTACACATGCTATGTGATTTTCATAACACAGTTACAAGCTCGCTGTAAGCCAAAGTCTACGATCGAGATTCTCCTGCCTAACCAGCTTGGCCTATTTGCCCAGGCGATTTTTGCGAGGCTTGCTGCTTAGGCGACAAGCACGAATTTCGCAAGTGCGACGCTTTAGCCCCCTCATACCTGCTTTATGACCGTTGACGACAAGATTTCTTGTTACTTCGCCCAGGTGAAGCGCCATTCACGGACACGGATTTGTCAAGCACCAGCGTCCGTCCAGCCCCGGTTTTGGAACGCGTCACATGGACCCGCAGCGCGAGCGCAAATAATTGTTCATTTTGACCTCCACCTGCTGCTTCTGCTGCTGCTGTTGCCGCTGCTGCTGCTTCACCTTCACCTTCAGAATTTCGGACCTTCGTTGCTGCTGGCTATGAAGAAACGAGGGATCTCTATTTTAGCAGATTCCCTCATCGAAGCATTTTTCCCTTTTGTCGCACGGCTTGCCTCCTGCGCCTGGTACCAGTCTTCGCCCTGTTGAGGTTGTACATTTGCGTTCGAGGGTATTGTAGCTAGTCCTTGGAGGGTCTACATCCCAAACGCTCCTCAAGCAGCCATCACATTAATCTTAGTGCCTCTTTATCGTTATCGTACTATTCAAGTCTACAATCAGTGTCTCACTTGTTAAATACAGATAACGGCTGAGAATTCACAATAGTGCCCACATAAGAGCCCGAGTTTTACTTTTCAAAGAGCTAGGTGATTTATCGCGATCTGAAGCCAGCCGAGAAACTGATTGGCTAGAGCAAATTACCAGCTGCAGCAAACTCCTCCTAGGACTCAAAACCAGCGGTTCGAAACTGAACGACCAGTCCGGAACAGACGAGTCGTCTGGAAGCCTGTCGCTCCCGTTCAATCACGGGCTAAGTGTCGCTGGGTGCGGTCGGGTCGCTGGGTGTGGTCGGGTCGCAGGGTGCGGTCGGGTTGCGGGGTGCGGACGTGTCGCGGGGTGCGGACGTGTCGCGGGGTGCGGACGTGTCGCGGGGTGCGGACGTGTCGGCGGGTGCGGTCATGGCAAGGCCTGCGGTCGTGACATCACCGGAGGATGCGGAGGGATATTCAGCGCCGAGAGTGATTGTGCCAGAGGTGCGAATATAGCTCTGAAGCGCCTCCGAATTCAGCGCCGAAAGTGATTGTACCAGACGTGATAGCAACACGTGCTGACCAAACGTTTGGCGATGGAGCGCAAGCGGGGACAGTTCTCATAGAGTGCAGGGTGCAGAGCATTGCCGACTGCTTTTGAGTCGACTCAAATGCAGAGAGTGCAGGGTGCAGAGCATTGCCGACTGCCCGAGTGAGTGAGTGAGTGAATGAATGAAAGCAGAGGGAGCGCGCGAGCGAGCGAGGGTGGGTACGCGCAAGCGAGAGAGTGAATGAGCATTTCGGGTACTCATTCCTCTCTGTCCATCCATCCCCTCCCCTCCCATCCCATCCCATCATCCCGCCGTTGCCATCGCAGGGCAAGGGCTGGCGACAATGCTGGTCGTACGTAGGTCCGGGCTTTCTTGTCGCCATCGCTTATATTGACCCCGCTAACTGTAAGACCCTACTCGCTATTGCCACATAGTGAATATTTTTGCCAGCATTTCAACTCGTAATTATCCAGCACATACTCGTTAAAGTCATCTCGGCGTCTCCGTCCCCTCTTTCCTGATATGCCATAGTACGGTCATCTGTGTTTCTGTGTTTCTGTGTTGTTGACTTACCATGAATCTTTCTTGTACTGCTGACCGTCCTGACTCGAATCAAGTCTAGGCGACTATCGCGGAACCACTCCAACATCAAGCCCATCCCGCGCTGCCCTGCTGAATTATTTTCCGATATTGGCTGCTCCTTGTGTCAGTTGAGAGCGATTTGAAGGCGGGAGCAGCATACAAATACACGGTGAGGGTGACGCGCATTTTTACCTGCATTTAAAATAAACAGGCTGCTCAGTGCCACGCCCTCTCCCCCACTCTCTCCATGCCACTTTTCTCTTCGCTGCTTCCCGCTCCCTCCGCTCCCCACACCGGCAAAGAGACCAACCCCTTCCCCCCCCCCTTTCTTCCTTTCCCCCCTCCCATTCCGTCCTCTCACCTCTCTCCCGAACAGCTCCTCTGGGCGCTGCTGCTGGCCTCGTTAGCGGGCCTCTTCATTCAATCACTCTCAGCCAACCTCGGTATTGTCACGGGTAAGGTGCCACCGCCACTTCTCCCCAGTAGATTTTTGGACGACTCAAGTGTGCAATGAGCATTTTCGGACGAGCTCATTGTGACAGATAAACCACCTGCTCGGCTCTGCTCCCCTTGCTTCTCTCTCCCCTCCTCCTATGTCCCTCCGCCCCTGCCCCCACTGTCCAGGCAAGCATCTGGCCCAGCATTGTCGCTTGGAGTACCCGTGGGCGCTGAATTTCGTGCTGTGGCTCATTGCAGAGCTCAACATCATCGCCAGCGACATTCCGCAAGGTGACTATACCGAGTGAGGTGACTATACCGAGTGAGAGGTGACTATACCGAGTGAGAGGTGACTATACCGAGTGAGAGGTGACTATACCGAGTGAGAGGTGACTATACCGAGTGAGAGGTATACCGAGTGAGAGGTGACTATACCGAGTGAGAGATAAGTGTACCAGGGAGCACGCTGTGCTCGCCTGGAGTACCCGTCGCCCCTGAATTTCGTGCTGTGGGTCATCGCACAACTCAACTTCAACATCGTCGCCAGAGACATTCCACAGCATAAGAATTTCAGAATCACAAGTAAATGCGCACCTTGGCACCTTGTTGTGCGAGCGTTGCCCTTGTGTTTCCCAGTCCGCCTTCCCTCTCCCTTCCCCAAGATTCAAACATATTCCTCCCCACGTTTCTCAGCTCCTGCCTCTGTCTCCTTGCTATCCTTCCCCTCCCCCCAGTGGTCGGCACCGCCTTTGCTCTCAACCTCCTCTTTCACATTCCCCTATGGGCGGGTGTGCTTATAACGGGATGCAGCACCCTGCTGCTCCTGGCACTGGAGAGGTTCGGGGTGAGTAGTAGCAAATAAACCAAGAAATCTGTTCGTTTTATTAGGGAGTCTATGGTAAGTTCAGAGTCTGTTCGTATTTCTCGGTGCGTCATGTGTTGTTGAAATGTTTCTCCCCTGCCATATTACCCCTTATAAGACTTCGACTGTCTTTGAGGCGCCTCAAAAATAGACTCCTCACGCCTGCCAGAGTACCCCTGATAAGACTTCGACTGTCAACCCCCCTCACTGCAGGCGCGTCCCTTAGAAGCTCTGATGGCGCTGCTGGTGCTGCTTATAGCGGGGTGCTTTGTAGCGGAGATGGTTAAGGCGCTACAGCCGTCGGATGTGGGGGAGCTCTTCAAGGGCATGGTGGTGCCTCAGGTAAGAAATTGGGTGCCCCAGGTGAGAAATCAGGTGGTTCAGGAGCCATCGAATGTGGAGGAGCTGTTTAAGGGCATGTTGGCGTCCCGGGTAAGCTCAGGCGGAACGAGGAGAGTTCAGGTGGCGCTGGTGCAGGGGCAGGTGAAATCTGGTGATTCAGATGGTGGGCAATCGCAATCACCAGCAAGCCAGACACGACGCACCCTAGCCACCTCGAGAATTGCATGGGCACACACAAGGGGCTAAGGGGCCATGACCACGCCACCACGCCACCAGGCCTCCAGGCTGGGACGAGGCCTTTTCATCACAACCGTTAGATAGACCAGAGAGACCCTGAACCATGAATGCGTGTGTCCCTGAACCCCCCCCCCTCCCCCCCTTACCCTCCTCCTCCCCCCCCCCTAATCAGTTGAAAGACCTGGGAGCATTGGCTGTCGCCATATCCATCCTCGGGGCAACCGTCATGCCGTGAGTCAGCATGAGCCAGCATGAGTCAGCATGAGCCAGCATGAGTCAGCATGAGTCATGCCAAGTGAGGCTTGAGTCAGCGACAGGGTTGGCAATAGTTCGCACCCTGAGTGTGGGTGCAGTGCCACGCAGCACCATACTTAACGACCTCTGCCTATGTCGTCACAGATGAGTGTACCTTGTCGTTGCGGCTACCTCTGCTCCCAACCCCTTCCTCCCCCCCTTCCCCTCCCAGCCCACTCCCCACCCACAACCCCCTCCCCACCAAACCCTCCCACCGCCCCATCTGCCACTTCCCATGCATCCCTGAAACAATGGTTCTTTTTCCCATCCGCCCTGTTTCCCCCTGTTCCCCATCCGCCCCTTTCTGTCACAATCCGAACACGCCAGGCACAACCACTTCCTTCACTCGGCCATTGTTCCCCACCCCACCCCTCCTAACACTAACCAGGCACAATCTCTTTCCCCGTTGTTCCCCATCCACTACCCTCATGCCATGCCACTGACCCTGTACGCACACGCCAGGCACAACCTCTTCCCCCCTCTGTTCCCCCTCTGTTCCCCCCTCTGTTCCCCCCCTCTGTTCCCCCCCTCTGTTCCCCCTCTGTTCCCCCCCCCCCTCTGTTCCCCCCCTCTGTTCCCCCCCTCTGTTCCCCCCCTCTGTTCCCCCCCTCTGTTCCCCCCCTCTGTTCCCCCCTCTGTTCCCCCCTCTGTTCCCCCCTCTGTTCCCCCCCTCTGTTCCCCCCTCTGTTCCCCCCCTCTGTTCCCCCCTCTGTTCCCCCCCTCTGTTCCCCCCTCTGTTCCCCCCCTCTGTTCCCCCCTCTGTTCCCCCCCTCTGTTCCCCCCCTCTGTTCCCCCCTCTGTTCCCCCCCTCTGTTCCCCCCTCTGTTCCCCCCCTCTGTTCCCCCCTCTGTTCCCCCCCTCTGTTCCCCCCCTCTGTTCCCCCCTCTGTTCCCCCCCTCTGTTCCCCCCTCTGTTCCCCCCCTCTGTTCCCCCACTCTGTTCCCCCACTCTGTTCCCCCCCCTCTGTTCCCCCCTCTGTTCCCCCCCTCTGTTCCCCCCCTCTGTTCCCCGTCCGCCCCTTTCTGTCACAATCCCAATACGCCAGGCACAACCTCTTCCTTCACTCGGCCCTTGTTCTGAGCCGCAAGCACGCAGGCACCACTCGAGCTATCAGGGTAAACGCATATTTTATCAGGGTTAACCCCCCATGCTCCTAGTGTAACCGAACTACCAGGGTAATTCACTCACGCAATCAGCGTAAACCACGTCCAAAGTCATGCCACAACCGTTGCGTCCACAAATGAAGTCCAAACAAACGAAGCGAACAAAGTCTCATGAACCCATCTTTAGATGGCAGCACCGCACCCACACCACACACCCTCTCTCTCTCTCTCCCACTCCCCCTCCCTCCTTGCATATCTCTTAGTTCTTCTTGCTTCCACAGTCTTCTCGCACCCTTCACTCCAGTGGAGGGACTCCCACCCACTACTACTCCCTCTTAAAGCTCGCCCTCTCACTGTTCATCAGGCGGCTTTAAGTCTAGCTTTTTCAATTACCCCTTTCAATGCCCCTCTGCCCTCCCCCTTTTCTCTCTCCCTCTCAGACCGCCACCCACTACTCCCTCTTGGAGCTCGCCCTGACACTGTTCATCAGCGTCATCATTCAACGTGGCATTTTTGCTGTAGCTCCTCTCAAGGCCCCTCTTCTTTCTCCCCCTCCCATCCGCTTGCTTCAGACCGCCACCCACTACTCCCTCTTGGAGCTCGCCCTCGCACTGTTCATCAGTGTCATCATCAACGTGGCAATCATTGCTGTGGCCGGCACCGTCTGCAACAGTGCCAGTCTGCCGCCCGGCGCGGCTGAGGCGTGCGCCAACATCAGCATCAGCAACGCTTATGTTCTTCTGAAAGTGAGTCAAGAGGGGATGGGGGGTGTCAAGGGGGAGGGGGGAGGGAAAGGGGGAGGGGGGAGGGAAAGGGGGAGGGGAGTGTAAAGGGGGAGGGGGGGGGGGGGAACGGGCTTGGTTGGGGGGGGGTGGAGGAGGGCTGGGCTGGATTCTTCTCGTTCCTCTCCCCGTTTGTCTCCTTAACATCTCACTCCCTCTCACACCTGCAGGATGTGTTAGGTGGCTGGGCGGGGACCCTGTTCGGAGTGGCGCTGCTGGCATCAGGCCAAAGCAGCACGGTCACTGGGACGTACGCTGGGCAATACGTGATGCAGGTGAGGATATCCCTTGCAGTAAGCGCTTGGTGATGGGGTCACTTGCACGTTGGAAAATACTTGACAAGAGCAATACTGGTCGTGGGTAACTTCTATCTAACATGTCACCAAGCGGCGTCTCCCTGAAGTGGCGTCCCCCTTAAGTGGCGTCTCCATTAAGTGGCGTCTCCCTTAAGTGGGGTCTCCCTTAAGAGGCGTCTCCCTTAAGTGGCGTCTCCCTTAAGTGGCGTATCCCTTAAGTGGCGTCCCCCTTCAGTGGCGTCTCCCTTAAGTGGCGTCCCCCTTAAATGGCGTCCCCATTAAGTGGCGTCCCCCTTAAGTGGCGTCTCCCTTAAGTGGCGTCTCCCTTAAGTGGCGTCTCCCTTAAGAGGCGTCTCCCTTAAGTGGCTTCTCCCTGAAGTGGCGTCCCCCTTAAGTGGCGTCTCCATTAAGTGGCGTCTCCCTTAAGTGGGGTCTCCCTTAAGAGGCGTCTCCCTTAAGTGGCGTCTCCCTTAAGTGGCGTATCCCTTAAGTGGCGTCCCCCTTCAGTGGCGTCTCCCTTAAGTGGCGTCTCCCTTAAGTGGCGTCCCCATTAAGTGGCGTCCCCCTTAAGTGGCGTCTCCCTTAAGTGGCGTCTCCCTTAAGTGGCGTCTCCCTTAAGAGGCGTCTCCCTTAAGTGGCGTCTCCCTTAAGTGGCGTATCCCTTAAGTGGCGTCCCCCTTAAGTGGCGTCTCCCTTAAGTGGCGTCCCCCTTAAGTGGCGTCTCCCTTAAGTGGCGTCTCCCTTAAGTGGCGTCCCCCTTAAGTGGCGTCTTCCTTAAGTGGCATCCCCCTTAAGTGGCGTCTCCCTTAAGTGGCGTCTCCCTTAAGTGGCGTCCCCCTTAAGTGGCGTCTCCCTTAAGTGGCGTCTCCCTTAAGTGGCGTCCCCCTTAAGTGGCGTCTCCCTTAAGAGGCGTCTCCCAGCTGCTCCCTTACGCGTTCCTCCGATTCTCCTCTCTCCGTCACATCCTCTCTTTCCCCTTCCTTCAATGCCTCTCCCATCTGTCCTCGCTACAGGGGTTCCTGGAGCTCCGTATAAGCACGTGGCTTCGCAACTTCATCACTCGCCTGGTTGCCATCGTGCCAGCTCTGCTGGTGGCTCTTCTCTTCGGGGCCAAGGGCGCAAGCCTCCTCATCATCCTCTGCTCGGTAAGAGCACACTGTGACCTGCTTATAAGGGGTACAGCACAGGTTTTCTCATTCTCCTGCGCTCAGTAAGGGAGGAACATCAGTTTCTGATGATGCATCACTGCTGGTGGCTCATCAGTCCTCGCCTGGTTGCGATCATGCCGGCTCTGCTGGTGGCTCTACTCTTCGGGGCCGAGGGCGCAAGTTTCCAAATTATCCTGTGCTCGGTAAGAGCACGAGATGCACTGCTTATAAGGGGTATGCGCAAGCTTGCTCATTATCCCGTGCCTGGTAACACCAGGGGTGCGCACAAGCGTTGCTCATTATCCCGTGCCTCTCCTCAAGTTCACTTCTCCTCAACTTCACCAGGACTTCTCTCAGAGGGGCTCCTCAGAACACGCGCATCGCCTCTCCCTTCTGTCTCCCCTTCCCACATCATTCTCTCCTTCGGTCTTCCCTTGGCCCTCATTCCCCTTCGCCCTCATTCCCCTTCGCCCACTTCATCTCCACTACTCTCCCTTCTGATTCCCCTTCCCAGATTACTCTATCCTTCGGTCTGCCATTCGCTCTCATCCCTCTCCTCAAGTTCACCAGCACTACTCTGAAAATGGGCATGTTCGCTACACATACTTGGGTAAGTTGCTTGCGTCATCATCATCGTCATCGTCATCATTCTCATCACCATTCTCATCATTCTCATCACCATTCTCATCATTCTCATCACCATTGTCATCATGCTCATCATCATTGTCATCATTCTCATCATCATTGTCATCATTCTCATCATCATTCTCATCATTCTCATCATCGTTCTCATCACCATTGTCATCATTCTCATCACCATTGTCATCATTCTCATCATCATTGTCATCATTCTCATCACCATTGTCATCATTCTCCTCACCACCATTCGAATCATTGGGACATGCCGTGCTCGCAGGCGGCATAGAGATACCAGGCTCTTGAGTCGACTCAAAAGCCACCTTGAGATGCCAGGCTCCATTCACTTTCCAGTCCAGCCTGCCACCCCGTTTTTCCTCGCCTTCTTTCTGTCGTTCCCTCTTGCTCTTCTACTCTTTTCTCTCCCAATTTCTACCTTTTTTTCTCCCCTCTCTCCGTATCCGTTCTGCCATCCGATTCCCCTTCAAACTCCCCTTCCTCTTCTACTTCCAATCCCTCTTCCAATCCCCCTTCCAGACTACAGTTGCTGCCTCTGGCCTTGGCGCTTGCATCACCCTAGCCAACTCCGCTCTCATCATCTGGACCTGTATCAATCTCCTCTACCTCAACCCCTCCTCCCTCTCCTCCCCTCCCTCTGCCAACTTCAACCTCCTCCGAATCCTCTTCACCGTTCTAACCTCCCTCCTCCTCCTCCTCTACCTCCTCACCCTCACCCTCCTCGCCCTCCGCCCTATTTCCACCGCCACTTACCAACCCACTAAGGACGAGCTCTCTAAAGCTGCTGTAGTGGCTAAAGCCCATGACTTAGCAATAGATACTTATGAAAATGGGAGTTCAGGAGGCGGTAAAGGAGGGGAGAGAGGGGAGAGAGGGGACTTAGAGTCTGGGTTTGGAGCGTATGGAGTATGTGGGAAGGGATCTGAGGAAGGAGCTAAGGCGGCAGAAGAATCAGCAGAGGCAGCGGCGGCGGCGGCAGAAGCAGCAGCAGAGGCGGCAGAGGCAGCAGCAGCGGCAGCAGCTGCCTCTGCTCTGGCCCGGTCCAAGATGCCGCAGTCAGCTGCTGCTGCTGCTGCTGCTGCTGCTGCTGGTTCTGATGTTACTGGTGCTGCTGCAGGTGCTTCGTTCTCTGAATCTCCACCTGCCAATGTTGCAGTGAGTGCAACAAGTGAGGCAAGCCTACAGCACTGGCTGGCGGAATCGGGAAGACGGTCTTAGCTAAAGGGGTTCGTTCAGATGACTTTGGATGGACCTCCCGGTCAAAAGACTTGCCATGAGTTGACTCAGAAGTACGCTCCTGCGCCCCTGCCACCATTCCCGCAACTGAAGCGGAGGGTGCAAGAAGTGAGGCCAGCCTACACGACTGGATGGCGGAATCGGGAAGACGGTCTTAGGTCAGGGGATTCTGAACACGCGTGAGGGCACAGGAAGGCACTTCTCAATTCTTCTGAGGAAGGAGTCTGTATATAGGGGAGATGGGAGGTGAGGTGAGGTGAGGTGAGGGGAGATGGGAGGTGGGGTGAGTGCGTAAGAGGGATGCTGGGGAGGGAAGGGAGAGTCCAAACGTGAGCTCGGGTGGTCTAGAACGCTCTGCATGGACAAGTCACAAAATGCACCTCTAGATCGAGTGAGCGCACGGACTGTGGAGATAAGGGGTGCAGCTGCTTGCTGCCAGAGGGGTGCTGTGGAGGGAGGGGAGGGTCCAGACGTGGGTCAGAGGTAGTCATAGTCTAGAAGCATCACACGCTCTTTCGCTGTGTTGTGTTGTGCCATAGTCTAGAAGCATCACACGCTCTTTCGCTGTGTTGTGTTGAATGCTCACACGCTCTTTCGCTGTGTTGTGTTGAATGCTCACACGCTCTTTCGCTGTGTTGTGTTGAGTGCTCACACGCTCTTTCGCTGTGTTGTGTTGAATGCTCACACGCTCTTTCGCTGTGTTGTGTTGAATGCTCACACGCTCTTTCGCTGTGTTGTGTTGAATGCTCACACGCTCTTTCGCTGTGTTGTGTTGAATGCTCACACGCTCTTTCGCTGTGTTGTGTTGGATGCTCACACGCTCTTTCGCTGTGTTGTGTTGAGTGCTCACACGCTCTTTCGCTGTGTTGTGTTGAATGCTCACATGCTCTTTCGCTGTGTTGTGTTGAATGCTCACACGCTCTTTCGCTGCCATAGTCTAGAATGCTCTGGAGTCACAGAGTGAGCTGCAGGTAGTCAGAAGTCACTCTCAGAAAGAGTGAGCATGGGGAATGTGGAGGTTAAGGGGTGTAGAGCAGCTGCTTGCTGCCTTAGTATCACACGTTCTTTTGCCCTGTGGACATTGTGTTTACTCAATGCGCTATATGTGCATGCCGTACACCGCGGAAGCCATAAATACACTGAATGGAAGCATGATCATAGTTCGTATAAATATCAAGGGAAAAACTAGGAGAAAAAAGTGCACAAGATGTATAAAATCCAGGTGCGGAACTTGAGACCTCAGAGATTGGCGCAGCAGGCTGGAGATTCGGGGGACGACGATATCATGAGATATCAGATGTGCTTCTGTTCTGCAGCAGCACCCTCACTTCCAACACATACGGTGCGCGACGCCCACGGCACGGAGCGGCGTGCAGTGTTTTTTTATAATTCTCCAAAATCAACTACCACAACGCGATGAGGTGCTTCTGCAGCACCATCGCGTCCAGCACATACGGTTCACGACGACCGCGACACGGAACGGAGTGCAGCGGTGTGCAGCAGGGAGGAGTGGTTTCTCAAGCAGGTGGGGGGAGGTGGTGCTGCAACCAGGCTTTATGCACGCGTAGAGAAGCATGATGCTTGAAACACGTGCGAGGGGCGCCAGCCAAGGGCAGCCGGGAGGAGTTGCTTTCTCAAGCGGGTGGTGGGAGGTGTGTCTGCAGCCATGCTCTGAGAACAGCCATCTCCTGGGGGCACATGGCGTGGCCCAGCCTGTCAGGCGAACAGGGAGACACGTCACACGGGGTAAGGATCGGGTATTGAGGCGCCTCAAAACGAGTTGTGCCTGCAGCCACGCCTTGAGATCAGCCATCTCCCGCGGACACAAGGCGTGGCCCAACCAGTCAGGCGAACAGGGAGACACGGGATAGAAATCGGGCGGCTTTTGTACCAGACATGAGAGTGTTAAAGTGATAGTACAAATGTCTTCAACTGAGATGTTCTAGCACTAACCAGTAGGTAATGCCCCCTTGACGAAGGAATGGACATGGAATAGAACATGGTACATGGAATAGAACATGGTACATGGAATAGAACATGGTACATGGAATAGAACATGGTACATGGAATCGAACATGGTACATGGAATAGAACATGGTACATGGAATAGAACATGGTACATGGAATAGAACATGGTACATGGAATAGAACATGATACATGGAATAAAACATGGTACATGGAATAGAACATGGTACATGGAATAGAACATGATGCATGGAATAGAACATGGTACATGGAATAGAACATGGTACATGGAATAGAACATGGTACTGGTATTATTTTCCCATCAAGGCAAACGTACTCGGGATAAGAGTGGAACGTCAGATTGGAGAAACCCGCTTCTTGCAACTCCCTCACACCGTCCCTTCCCCAGTCGTAGCCCACCAACACATCAACTGCACAGTCCGTGTGTGTGTTTGGGGGGGGGAAGAGGGGGGAGGGAAACGAGAAGCACTTTCGCACAGTCCCTTCCCCAGTCGTAGCCCACCAACACGTCAACTGCACAGGTTGCGTGCGTGCGTGGGTGTATGGGGGGTCAGGGTGGGGTGGGGGTGGGGGTGGGGATGGTGTGGGTGGGGATGGTGGGTGGGGATGGTGGGTGGGGATGGGGGGTGGGGATGGTGGGTGGGGATGGGGGTGGGGATGGGGGGTGGGGATGGGGGGTGGGGATGGTGGGTGGGGATGGTGGGTGGGGATGGTGGGTGGGGATGGGGGGTGGGGATGGTGGGTGGGGATGGGGGGTGGGGATGGGGGGTGGGGATGGTGGGTGAGGATGGGGGTGAGGATGGGGGTGGGGATGGTGGGTGGGGATGGGGGGTGGGGATGGGGGGTGGGGGGTAGGAGGGAAGAGAAGAAGAGAGGTGAGAATCGTTCAATGCACGCACCTGACAAAGAGGCTCATCCCTCTCATCCCTCTCATCCCTCTCATCCCTCTCATCCCTCTCATCCCTCCCATCCCATCCCTCTCTCCCCCCTCTCATCCCTCTCAACTCCTCCCTCTCACCCCTTACATTTCTGTCAGCACCATCAGCACCCAGGCCAGGCCCCCACCGCCGCACAGCTAAAAAAAATTCCCCCTATGGCACATACCACCCGCCCCACACAGTACCTTCCCCATGCGTCATGAGCAGCGGATGGTTCGCTGCTCTCTCTGCCACTGATGCCTCCGCCCCTGCAGCACGGCCTCCTGGGCCTGGCGTCAGACTGTGGAGGAGAGTGGAGGGGAGTGGTGGGGAGTGGTGGGGAGTGGTGGGGAGTGGTGGGGAGGGCAGGGACGAAAGATCATAGGTGGTTCACAGTTCTCTCTACCACCGATGCGACCCCCCCTGGCAATGCCTTTGAGTCGACTCAAAATCTGCCTTTGAGTCGACTCAAAAGCCCCCCCTGGCACTGCCTCCCGGACCTGTCAACCTGTGGAGGGATACAGAGGGAAGGACCAATGGAAATGTCTCACAACTGCTCTAGGATCCAAAAACCCCACCCTTCTGACAACACCTTCCCTGAACAAACCCCACTCCTGCAGAGAGGCAACAGAGGCGGGGAGGGGCACAGAAGAGACTGCTCAACTTCCCCATATGGTCAGACGATACCTTCCCCAGACACCCCCTTTCCCAATCCCCACCTCCACTTGGGCAGCCAGAAACTGGGGGCAACAAAGGCAGAGAGGGGCATAAGGAGACCCCACCTTCCACATTATGCCACCCCACCCCTTCAGACAGAACCTGCCCCACATCCCACCTGCACTTGGGCAGCCAGGTGCTAAAGGCAACAGAGGCGGATAGGGGAACAGAGGAGGCGTCGGAACCATCCTCGAACCTTCCCATCATCTTCCGGCACATGAGGTAGATGGAGAGAGCGCCCCCCTGGCTGATTCCCCCGACTGCATAAGTGACGTCTGGAGGAGCAGAAGGGAGCATGCAAGAGAGTGACACGAGGAGGGGGAGTTGAAGCACCAAGACCGGAGGATGAGGAAGCACGAATGGAAACGCGAAGGGAGAGTGAGGGAGGGAGGAGAGAGCGTCCCCTAGGCTGATTCCCCCCACTGCGTAAGTGACGTCTGGAGAAACACACGCGGAGAGCGCACAAGGGAGGGAGAGAGAAGCGAGCAAACGAGGAAGCCAGCAACAAAAGCAATAAGGAGAGAGAGGTAGAACGCATGGGGGATGAATGGGAGAAAGCGCCCCCTTGGCTGATTTTCCTCACTGCATGCGTGATGTCTGGAAAAACACGATGAAGAGAGAGAGAAACGGGGAGCGAAGGAGAAGGAGGGAGAACGACGAAGGGGTTGGAGGGAGAGAGCGCCCCCTTGCGTGATAAAAACAGAAGCAACCCACACCAACCCACCCACCCTCCTGGGTTGGCCCATGTCTCCTCCACTATCCAGCCGCGCATCTCGCAGCCGCATCACCTCTTGTTCTGACAGAGTCTCTCAGGTCCTTTCTAAGCATTCCACCCACCCGGGTTGGCCGGCTTCTCTTCTTCCAGTATCCCAGCCACGTATCTCAAACCAGCACTGCTGGCCTTGCACCTAGCCCTTTCGTGATCATCTAATCGGCATAGAACCTACCCGAATTCGCCGTCTTCTCCTCCTCCAGAATCCCAGCCACGTATCTCGCACAAACAGCATCAGCACCCTTCGCGCCATTCTAACGCCTTTGCCCTTGGCAACCCTTGACAGCCATTCTGCTATCAATAACAGCCTAATGGCCCCCCAAACCCAACCCACCCGGATTCGCCTTCTTCTCCTCCTCCAGGATCCCAGCCACATATCTCGCAGCCGCATCAATGCCCTTGGCGTCGACAGGAGCACCAGCGTTGAACCCAAAGACGTCGTACCCTGGTGCGGAGGGATGGAATGGCAATCACCGCCGGGTAACGGTTTTGAGGCGCCTCAAAACTAGACTCCTATCACGCGGCAATCATAGGCGGGTAGCAGTTTTGAGGCGCCTCAAAACTAGACTCCTATCACGCGGCAATCACAGCCGGGTAGCGGTTTTGAGGCGCCTCAAAACTAGACTCCTGTCACGTGGCAATCACAGCCGGGTAGTGATTTTGAGGCGCCTCAAAACTAGACTCCTGTCACGCGGCAATCACAGCCGGGTAGCGGTTTTGAGACGCCTCAAAACTAGACTCCTATCACGCGGCAATCACAGCCGGGTAGCGGTTTTGAGGCGCCTCAAAACTAGACTCCTGTCACGCGGCAATCACAGCCGGGTAGCGGTTTTGAGGCGCCTCAAAACTAGACTCCTGTCACGCGGCAATCACAGCCGGGTAGCGGTTTTGAGGCGCCTCAAAACTAGACTCCTATCACGCGGCAATCACAGCCGGGTAGCGGTTTTGAGGCGCCTCAAAACTAGACTCCTATCACGCGGCAATCACAGCCGGGTAGCGGTTTTGAGGCGCCTCAAAACTAGACTCCTATCACGCGGCAATCACAGCCGGGTAGCGGTTTTGAGGCGCCTCAAAACTAGACTCCTATCATGCGGCAATCACAGCCGGGTAGCGGTTTTGAGGCGCCTCAAAACTAGACTCCTATCACGCGGCAATCACAGCCGGGTAGCGGTTTTGAGGCGCCTCAAAACTAGACTCCTATCATGCGGCAATCACAGCCGGGTAGCGGTTTTGAGGCGCCTCAAAACTAGACTCCTATCACGCGGCAATCACAGCCTGGTAAAGGAGAAGGGATGAAGAGAATGGGGCAATCACAGCAGAGAAGAGGGCAGGGGAGCGGAGCAGAGCAGAGGAAAGATTGTAAGCTGGCTCAAAACTCACACGGGAATGAAATGCACAGAGTTGACTCAAAAGTCACTCAAAAGTCACTCACAAGTCACTCAAAAGTCACTCACAAGTCACTCAAAAGTCACTCACAAGTCACTCAAAAGCCACCTCATTGGCTCAAGAATCACACAGGTATGAAGTGCATCCACAGATGGGTGCGGAGAAGCGGAGCAACATCTCTCGCCTAGATTAATCCAAAACTAGAGCTACTATTAGCAGGCTTTCAGCAGATCAAATCAAATCTATTTCCTTCCCAGACGGGCGGATAAGTGGCTGGGCAACATGAGTGTGAGAATCTTATTCCCACCCCCGTCAGGGTGGGACTGACTCACATGAGAGGGCACGATGGGCATGGTTGACTGTGACAGGCGCTATAGGCGCTACAGGCACTACAGGCGCTACAGGGGCTACCGACGCTACAGGTGCTACAGGCGCTACAGGGGCTACAGGGGCTACAGGCGCTACAGGGGCTACAGGGGCTACAGGCGCTACAGGGGCGCTGGGAAAGTTTGGAGTCACCAAGGCGTGTGAATGAGTGGGAATGACTCACATGAGGGGGCGCGACGGCCACGGTTGATGGTGACAGGTGCTACAGGCGCGCTGGGGAAGATCCACTTGATCTGCACACATGTGGGAGAGGCGCACACACGTGGGAGAGGCGCACACACGTGGGAGAGGCGCACACACTTGGGAGAGGCGCACACACGTGGGAGAGGCGCACACACGTGGGGAGAGGCGCACACACGTGGGAGAGGCGCACACACGTGGGAGAGGTCGAGAAATGTGTTGCATGGTTGGGAGTCCCCGTACTCAGCATAAGCCACGGAAGCCAGCCACCGGGAGACTCCGTAGGGAGTGTGTTGCCTTCTTGGAAGCCCCCTCCCCCATATTCAGCATCCGCCATGCAGCCAGACACCGGGAGACCTCGTAGCCAGTTTGAGTGAGGAGACGATTTTCTCGGCGCCTACCTAAAACACATGTGGTAAGTAGGCACACTTACATGTGGGAGGTCGAGAAATGGGATGCTTGGTTGGGATTCCCCGTTTTCAGGATCCGCCATGGCAGCCAGCCACCGGGAGACCCCGTAGCCAGTGTCGCCCAGCCCATGCAGCCACACTATGGTGGCTGCATGCTGCCCTGCCACGGCTGGCAGCACTACAGTCTCCCTCGCTGGCTTGCCTGGGGGAGAGGGAAAGGGGGCGAGTGGGAGAGGAAGGAATGAGAATGAATGACCTCTTTGTAGCCAGTGTCCCCCAGCCCATGCAGCCACACTATGGTTGCTGCATGCTGCCCTGCCTCGGCTGGCAGCACTACGGTCTCCCTCGCTGGCTTGCCTGGGGGAGAGGGAAAGGGGGCGAGTGGGAGAGGAAGGAATGAGAATGAATGACCTCTTTGTAGCCAGTGTCCCCCAGCCCATGCAGCCACACTATGGTGGCTGCATGCTGCCCTGCCTCCCATGAAGCCACACCACGGTTGATGCATGCTGGCTGCCAGCGCTGGGAGCACTACGGTCTCCCTCGAAACGTGGGGAAGTGGGGGGGGGGGGGGAGGGAAGTGAGGGGGCGAAGGGAGGAGGGGGATGGATACCGCCCTCATGCCAGGGAACAACGCGGGTGAGGGGGAATTTTTGAGGCGCCTAAAAAAACGCGGGTGAGGGGGAAACTTTTGAGTCGACTCAGAAGGGATGAGGGGGATGGATACCACCCTCATCGCGGATGGATGCCAGGGAACAACGCGGGTGAGGGGGAAAGGGAAAACGAGTGCGAGGGGAAGATTTTAGAGGCGTCTCAGAAGTTTTGTTCTGGGACGTCTAACCTACTTAACCTTCCTCGTGGCAGGGAGCAATTGCGGGTGAGGGGGAAAGGGCAAACGAGTGAGATGGGAAGAGAGGGAGGAATGATCCAGCGCTGCAAATTCTGCAGAAAAGGGTGAAAGCAACCATAACAACTCAGCAACAGAAGAGAAGTGGTGTATTTTGAGTCGACTAAAAAAAAATCATAACAATTCAGCAACAGAAGAGAAGTGGTGTATTTTGAGTTGACTCAAAAAGCAATCATAACAATTCAGCAACAGAAGAGAAGTGGTGTATTTTGAGTCGACTCAAAAAGCAATCATAACAATTCAGCAACAGAAGAGAAGTGGTGTATTTTGAGTAGACTCGAAAAGCAATCATAACAATTCAGCAACAGAAGAGAAGTGGTGTATTTTAAGTCGACTCAAAAAGCAATCATAACAATTCAGCAACAGAAGAGAAGTGGATGGAAGCGACATAGCATTAGCGATCAAGGCTTGCTGTTTGAGCATGCTGCTTTCGCTTGCTGGAAGCGAGCTGAGAACGACTTGCTTACTGAACGGCGATTGGTCTGTTGCTTCTGCAGCAGCCAGGCCCCCGGTGGGTGCGGGTGCGGTTTCAAGTTCGGGTTCGGGTGCGGGCGCGGGTGCGGGTTCCGGTGCCAGTGCGGGCTTTAAAGGTATTTCTCCAGGGTCTTTGATGCAGAACATTCTTCTGAGGAACCTTCTTAATTTCTCAGGGAGATTTTCACGGACGGCCATAATGGTTCCTGGGGGAAAAGAAAAGAAAGCAGGGGCCATTGTATAGATTATGAGAATTATTACCATGCATGTGATCAGGAATACATTTCCTTTAAAAAAAAGGCACGAGGACGGGGCCTGAAGAGACGTCACGTTGCAAGAGAACTCTCATGTGCGTCGCACGTGCTTCACACGTGCTTCACGCGTGCTTCACACGTGCTTCACAACACTGCAAGATGAGGCACCTGAAAACGCCACTTGGATCCAGGAGCAGGAAGGTATCCGTATTAAATATTCGCACTCGCGCGTCAATAGTCGCTATTGATTGGACCAGAAATGCCGAGTAAAGAGAATCTGAGCACCACGGAAAACGCAGCCAGTGCTACCCTGGGTGATCGCAGCTCGGGGGCTGAGCTGTAGTAGCAGGAGAAGAGAGCTCGCAAAGGGAAGCAGGCAGGAGCTACTTTAAACGAGGCGCTTGGCGGAGCAATATAGGAGGGGAGGCTTTCAAACGTCCCGAATTGCGGAGCACGACAGGAGGGCAGCGGATAAGGAGTTCCTGAGCAGCAGGCAGAGGCGGCATTCGCGGAGATCATGCCTTCTAACGCAGCCACTTTGTTGGAAAAAATGGGTTTGGGGAGGGGCGAAAGGGAATGAGGGGGGTGGATTGCCCCCCACGCCACGCATGCCATGGCTCCGAAAATGCAACGCAGATTCCGCTAGTCCGAGGTACTATTGCACAGTAGTGCAAGGGTCTACCTAACAGATGGGTCTGAGCTGAGGTTGCCTAGTAGACTCCACAGCAGTGGCGTGCCTACGTGCTGACTTTTCGTTTTAGGGTTCCGGTACAGCTCGGCGTGGTGCAGCTGGCATGGAATCTGTGCTTTGCAGATAGATACAGTACGGTGCGAGTTTCAAATTTCACACTTTGGAAGCACCCTTTCCGGGAGGAGAGGAGGGCCAATCGAAGCGAGGGGGTTGCTTGATCATGGGGAGGATGACGAGGACGACCAACCACGGGGGTTGCCCGCGTCGCCACGCCAATCGCATTCGCCGCCGAGCTTTTCCGCCTGGCGTTTGCTACAAACACCGCCCAACACACTAAATGCTGCTCGTCTAGACGACTGGCTTCGTAAGGAATTTTCCATTCCTTAACGCGCCACACCGCTAACGCGTACCCTTACCTCACGCCAAGCCGAACCATTTCGCGACACTCCGAAGCGATCTACGTGGGAAAATTACTGCCACGGACTGCCCACAAATCTTTTCATACTTTCGTGGACAGCCCCTACTTTCACGGACACCACATCAACCTTTCGCTTCTCCCGTGGACTCCGTCCCTACTTTCATGGACATCCGCCTTACTTCCATGGACAAGGTCGAAATAGCAGGAAATAGGCGAAAACTCAACTGTACAAAAAATGACGGGCGCTGAAAAAAAAAAAGCAGGGGCTCAGCGTGCGTCGCAAAGAGTCGCACGCTACAGTGCCCCAAACCAAAATCCGAAACAGAATCTCGCCTCTACAGTATTTCCATCAATCGTGACCATTTCCCGGGAAAATTACTGCCACGGACTGCCCACAAATCTTTTCATACTTTCGTGGACAGCCCCTACTTTCACGGACACCACATCAACCTTTCGCTTCTCCCGTGGACTCCGTCCCTACTTTCATGGACATCCGCCTTACTTCCATGGACAAGGTCGAAATAGCAGGAAATAGGCGAAAACTCAACTGTACAAAAAATGACGGGCGCTGAAAAAAAAAAAAAGCAGGGGCTCAGCGTGCGTCGCAAAGAGTCGCACGCTACAGTGCCCCAAACCAAAATCCGAAACAGAATCTACCAGAAATTGGGAACGACTTTCACGCCAGGTTTTCGTTTGGTGCTTTTCGCACAGTAAGTCGTGTGACGTGTGATTCGGCAGGCAGTACCCACGCGTTTCTATGTTACTGTACTTCAGAAGGAAAAATCGGTACGCTCTGTCAAATTGTCTACCAGTTCAGACTAGTGCTGCTGCTGTTGTTGTTTACATCATATTCTCAAAATGAAAGGTTTCCTTCAATGATGAATGTTTTTGGGTTGCGTAGCAACCTTATAAAATTGGTTTCATGTTTTTGTGCGCCAGGGTGTACAATAAATTTAGGGTTAATACACCTGTAAAATGGTTGAATGTAAATATTTTACACTCGTAAAGTGTTGTAACGATACGACATTGTGCTGCTTACTTTATATATGTTTTGCCTACCAACCGTCTGTCGATGAATACGGCGGACGAATGGTTTCAAAACATACATTCGGTCGCATTTTTGTCACACAAAATCAACCACGTACCGTACAAACGCGTACGAATGTACAATGATGCAGTGGATGCGATGAAGCCATGCACGAATGCTTCCGTGCTGCAAGCGTGGTTGACATGTACGTTTTGGAAGCAAAGCTTTCCAAGCCGACAACGACAACCACAATTTGCATGTTGCACTTAGCATATATGTGTCAAACATGTGTATTTGTCATGTTTGTATAGACTGTATAGGGTTGTCTCTTAGAGAGTACAACACTTAGGTATATCTTTGTGTACTCTCACTCTATCTATCATTCAATTTTCAATTATGATATGGTATCACGCGTAGGTAGGATCCCCCCCACCTACCGCTTCCGCTCACCCAGTCGCGACCCCCTCCTAGCCCCGTCGCGCCCCTCACTAGGCCCTGTCGCGCCCCTCCCAGGCCCCCTAGCACCCCTCCTGGGCCCCGTCGCGCTCCTCCCAGGCCCCGTCGCGCCCCTCCTAGGGCTTCGTAGTGCTCCTCCTGGGCTCCGTATCGCCCCTCCTGGGCCTCGTCGCGCCCCTCCTGGGCTTCGTAGCGCCCCTCCTGGGCCCCGTAGCACCCCTCCCAGGCCCCGTCGCGCCCCTCCCAGGCCCCGTCGCGCCCCTCCCAGGCCCGCTAGCGCCCCTCCTGGGCCCCGTCGCGCTCCTCCCAGGCCCCGTAGCGCCCCTCCTGGGCCTCGTCGCGCTCCTCCCAGGCCCCGTCGCGCCCCTCCTGGGCTCCGTAGCGCCCCTACTAGGCCCCGTCGCGCCCCTCCTGGGCCCCGTAGCGCCCCTCCTGGGCCCCGTCGCGCCCTCCCTGGGCCCTGTAGCGCCCCTCCCAGGCCCCGTCACGCCCCTCCTAGGCCCCTTAGCGCCCCTCCTGGGCCTCGTCGCGCCCCTCCTGGGCTTCGTAGCGCCCCTCCTGGGCCCCGTTGCGCCCCTCCTGGGCCCCTGTAGCGCCTCTCCTGGGCCCCTGTCGTGCCCCTCCTGGGCCCCGTAGCGCCCCTCCTGGGCCGCGTAGTACCCCCCCGGTCCCGTCGCCCCTGCCCGACCCCGTCGCAGCCTTCAGTTCTCCTCTGCACAGCCCACCCCTCTGCCTGTAGACCACAGACTCTCCGCTCCAGTGTCTGAGGAGTTGGTAGAGCCCAGCGGCCCCTACGCAGAGCTGGTGGGTTGCCTCATGTACCTGATGACTTGCACTCGCCCAGATCTCGCATACCCTCTCAGCATCCTGGCTTGCTTTGTGGCCACAGGCAGACACCGACCGCAGCACTGGTCTGCCGCTAAGAGGGTTCTGCGTTATCTTGCTAGTACATCGGGCATGGGGTTAGTGCTAGGAGGACGCAGGCCAGTGGTCCTTACTGGACACACATACGCTTCGTGGGCAGACGACGCTGAGACGCTCAGGTCTACCCAGGGCTACTGCTTCAGCCTTGGCTCAGGTGCCGTCTCGTGGAGAGCTACCCGCTCCTCGTCTCTAGCGCAGTCCAGCTGTGAGGCTGAGATCTACGCTGGTGCCATGGCGGCACAGGAGCTCCGCTGGCTGACCTTCTTGCTCACTGACTTAGGTGAGCGGCCTAGCTCTGCCCCGGTCCTGTTCGCTGACAACAGGGCCATGATCCTCCTGTGTCAGGAGCCTCGACTCGAGGGCAGAGCGAAGCACATTCAGCTGCGGTACTTCCTCCTGCGTGAGCTACAGCAGCGACGTCAGGCTCGCGTAGTACACTTGGCCTCAGGTGCCAACACGGCTGATATCTTTACGAAGGCGCTTGCGCCTAAAGATCATCAGCGGCACTGTGTACAGCTTGGTCTAGTTCCTGTAGCCTCTCACTTGCTAGGACCTTGACTTTGTACTGTCCTTTATACGTATACTCAGACTGGACTTGTGTCCTCTCGCAGTGGCTGGACTAGTAGTGCCGCCCTGCCCTTGTGCTTGCCTTGTTTGTACTCCTTCTGACTGGTCTCTTAGACCCTTGTCTCAGAGGTTGGACTAATAGTGCCGCCCTGAGCTGTTTGTTTAGGGCATTCCCCTATGCAGTCTAGGGGGTGTGTCAAATATGTGTATTTGTCATGTTTGTATAGACTGTATAGGGTCGCCTCTTAGAGAGTACAGCACTTAGGTATATCTTTGTGTACTCTCACTCTATCTATCATTCAATTTTCAATTATGATAATATGCACCACTCCAATACAAACACGATATTACAAAATGCATGACCACAAATACACACAGTATGCAAACGTAGAATCTCGCCATGAATACAATGAAGTGATACACGAATGCTTTCGTGCTGCAAGTGAGGTTGACATGTGCGTTTTGGAGGCAACGCTTTCCAAACCGACAAAGACAACCACATTTTGCGTACTGCACTTGGCATATATGCACCACTCCAGTACAAACATGACACCACGATAACAGTAACGATTCAAACCATGCAATCCACATACTCACGGAAAAAAACACACGCATACACGTATAATAAGGGAGGAGGGTGGAAGAAAAGGGAAATAATAAGGGGGAACCAAGAAGAGGACAAAGAAGATAAGAACCACACATCATGGGAGTACAAACACAACACACAAGAGAACTGTGAGAGAAACATGAAAGCCCAAATGTGCTGATCACTCAGTTACTACTGGTTGCGATGAAGCACACCCCCCCCTCTTCTCCTCCTCTCCTTCCCTACTCTTTCTCCCCCCCTTCCAATTCCAGCTTATCCCCTAACCCCTCCCCCCCCCCCCCCCCCCCAACCCTTTGTCTTGGCAATGCACAAATGCAGTTACCAGTCGTCTACATAGACCTGCACGCAATGGCGATAGGAAACAAACAGAATTTAGGGTTTAGAAAACATATTGCAGTAATTGAACACTAAGTGCGCTAGCAAAAAGTGCACTAATTTCGCCAAATGATTAGGAGATGGTAAACTAGTGGACAACGAACAAATAGCTGGTGCGCATACAGCTAGTGTGCGGACGGCTAGTGTGCCGAAGGCTAGTGTGCCAACGGCTAGTGCACACATACCTAGGTGCTGCTAGGTGTTGCTAGGTGTTGCTAGGTGTTGCTAGGTGCTGCTAGGTGCTGCTAGGTGCTGCTAGGTGCTGCTAGGTGCTGCTAGGTGCTGCGCCGCTAGGTGCTGCTAGGTGCTGCTAGGTGCTGCTAGGTGCTGCTAGGTGCTGCTAGGTGCTGCTAGGTGCCGCTAGGTGCTGCTAGGTGCCGCTAGGTGCTGCTAGGTGCTGCTAGGTGCCGCTAGGTGCTGCTAGGTGCCGCTAGGTGCCGCTAGGTGCCGCTAGGTGCCGCTAGGTGCTGCTAGGTGCTGCTAGGTGCTGCTAGGTGCTGCTAGGTGTTTCTAGGTGTTGCTAGGTGCTGACCTGCCAGAAGAGAGGGCGCCTCACTATCACTCAGCACCAACGAAGCATGTTGCTTGCCACGCCATCAGCCCGTTCCGCCATCGAGCGCGGTGCCTGTGCGCAGGATCACCGCATGCCTTGTTCCTAGTGCATAGCGGGGCGTCAGAGCGGCTGACGCCAGCGCGTCTAGAGCCAGTGCGCTACGCAGGCCAGACGCTAGGCGTCTGGGCGCTTAGCGCTGGTGACCGCGGCGCCAGTGTGCCTAGAGCCAGCGTGGCGCGAACGCGCTTGCGCCAGCGAGCGTGGCGCCAGCACGCTAGCTCAGGCCAGCGCGGCGCTTGCGCCCCTAGAGCCAGCGCGCGCCAGCCAGCATGGCGCGTGCGCGCCTAGCGCTAGCGCCAACCAGCGCGGCGCTTGCGACCCTAGCGCCAGCGCGTGCTAGTCAGCGCGGCGTCAGCGCCCTGGCGCCAGTGCACTAGCGCAAGTCAGCACGGCGCTTGCACCCCTAGAGCCAGCGCGCGCCAGCCAGCGCGGCACATGCGCGCCTAGGCGCGGCGTCAGCGCGCTAGCGCCAGACACATTGGCGCCAGCGCGCTAGCGCCAGTCAGCGCGGCGCCTGCGCGCCTAGCGCCAACAAGCTCGCGCCAGCAAGTGCGGCGCCAGCGCGCTTGCGGCAGGAAGCGCGGCGCCTTGGCCCCTAGTGCCAATGAGCAGCGATTCTAAATGGTAAGGATGATCTAAGTATGGCGACCTAACTATGACTGCCTACTAAGAACGAATTACGTGCGAAGAGAAGCAAGATTGGGAGCGAGTTGGGTGGAGCAGAAAGTTGGTTTGGGTGTATCAAGATTGCCTTGCCAAGGGCACCACCACCAACCCCTTACCGAGTCAGCAGAGTTCACTCAAACCAAGTCAGCAACTCTTCCGAAAGCCCTAAGTGTCTCATATCGAGAAAAATCTACCCGCTAAACTGTATCCCAGTGAATATGATAATACAATACTTCCCGTGGTGACCAGTTTTCACTCTCCCAATTTAAGCTTAGACTTCAATAATACGTGTGCTATAATTGAGTCGAAATATGGAAAAAAATAAATTATGGT